CTGCCTGACCAGTGCCCTGCTGACCTTTGCATGCACTGGAGTTTGCATCTCTGAGTCTATGTATACATTTGACATATTTGGCAAGAGTGCATCTTCTTTACAACCATGAACTCTTTCTCCCCAGATATTTGGCTTAGAAGTAGACACTTAACAGCTTGCCTCACACCAACAAGCCGCTTTGACACATCCACTGTTTTCTGTATTACTCTAGCATAAGAGATGCTGATATCTGTGAGCTGCAGGTGTGGTACCCTACTGCTTAGTTTCCCCCTCCCCCAACACTATCCAGGGCTGTGGGCCAGAGAAAGCAGAAATCTTATGTTCCTAAACTTCATTTTTCTGTTTTGTACAGAGATGTTTCAGGTTTATGCTGCTGCATCTGGAGAACGACACGGGCCTGCATAACCTGTTGGTCATGCATACAATGCCTCTTCAGCAACTTGACAGAGACAGCATGCTCATCAGAAAAACCTGACTGGCAATTCCCACTGTATTTCTGCAGTGCAGTCTGGAAGTAATTATCCTTCTCACTGGCAAATCAATTAAGAATGGAGGATCTAACACACCTCTCCACATCACAGAAACGGTTAATTCAGCCATACTAATGAGCAGAAAACCTCAGGTAATCCCAGGTTCTTCTGATATCATGACAACTGCAAGTCTCTTGAGCACCACACCTGTGGCAATTTCAGCCCAGCTCAATGGCCAGGGAGAAGGGAGTAGAGGCTACCAGGTATTTTACAAAACAAAGTCAGCTCCTGCTTGAGGCTTAGTTTCTTCATCTGTACAACAGAGAAAAAGCTTTCAGACTCAAGTAAGAGTGGCCTTGGATACTATAGTACTGAACTTGGCCCTGTGCATGGAAAGCTCAATATAAGGAAGCCATGTTTCTCTTCTGATGTTAGATCCACTACACACACACATACAGACACACACGCATGCACGCACGCACATACGTGGGATTGGAGCAGCACATTCACACATTGCAGGGACTCACTCTCATTCCCTGGCAGTCAGACCTTTGCATTATCCTCATCATTTGCAACATTGTCTCTAAAGCTGCAGGTGGCAACAGCTTTTGAGCCAGAGTAATTAGACCATAGCACGCCTGCAATCCCCTGTCCACTCAAAGATGATTTCTCAGATACAGTCAGGGATGGGAATGAAGCCTCTCTGGCTGGGACATCCACAGCTATCAGCCAGACTGTACAAAACACAGGTCTGGTAAACAGCCTTGACCCTGCATACTGCATGGGCCTGAGGACAAGACTAATATGACAAAAATAAATTCTGAGGACCCAGGAATTTTTGTTTCCTGCAAGGAGAGCAGGAAACTAAAGGCTGGTCCTCCACAGCCACCACAGTAACAAAGCCCCTCCTCTAGTGAGGCAAGCCTGCCGGACTCCTGTTTTCAGATCTAATCCACTGTTCATCTCCTAAGTGCCCAGAGCAGAAGCATCCAGCAATACTGGACCACCTGACCATAGTCAAACTCAAACCCAGGTGATGAACTATTTATACTCAGTGTCCAGAGAGACAGAATTCATATCAAATGTCCTAGGAGTAGGTCAAGGTCATTAAAATGGTTCTGATGCCACAATATCATTGGCTCGGGACCATGAGAGAAGCTCTAGGTGTCTTATCAATGTGCTCACATAGAATGATAATACCTGCTAGATGAAATGACAGCATCCTATCCACAGCCTGTAAGAAAGTCAATACTATACGCCTCAAGTCCAACTTCCTTATCAACCAAACATTCCCCTAGAACGTTTATTACAGATCCATCATTCATGGCAGTGAAGCCTTAGAAAAACGGAGCAGAGTCTGCTCCGCTATCTTACCTGCTTTCTAAGGGGCTGTGAGGATGAGAGAGGACACCATAGATAAAGCTTCCCACCAGAAAGGTTAGCACTGTAGCTTCAGCTATCCCTGGCTAAAAGTGTTACTGAGAGAGCAACTATGCACACACAAACACTTCTGCCATTAGCCTAATGGTTTATTAACTATGAAGATTTGGAGAATGTTTTGTCCTCAAAGGGGAAAAAAATGCACTGACAAAATTAAAAGCCAATGGTTACTTTTATGAGCAACTATATAAATAAAAGCACAATTTACAGTTTTGCCGGGAGCAACAGATCTCATCTGATGGATTCACAGCCTCTATGGAAAGCAGTGGCCATCTGTTAAATAAATAACTCATTAGGTGAAAAGCAAGTTCTTCCACGAGATTAGCTACAAAACCTGCTTGAGTCCACTGCCAATGATCAGGGAGAGCTGCGGATAGCTTGGGAACTGAGAGAATCAAAAGAATCTTGCTTAATGCAAGCTGTGGAGAGAATCCAGGCAATGGCAGATTTAAAGTCTAGCCATATTTTAAAAGGAATCTGAAAAGTTAAAATAATAATAATAATAATTAATAATAATAATAATAAACCCTTGCATTTCCAGGTCATACTAATGGCATGGAGCTCAAGATGCACAGAGAAAGGAACGAGTGTATTCCTTTATATTGACCTGTCCTCTTGTGTCAGTGAATAAAGATGAGAGATTTCTCTTAAAGTAAATATTCTGGGTAAGACACATCACCAAGGTGCAGTGTCATTGTGTCTGGCAACTAGCGCCCCCATCGTCAAATAGTAACAGTGAAAGGGAACACAATCTCATCCTTCCTTGGATAAAAGTATGAAGAATCACAGAAGATTCCTATGAATGTTATTGCTCATTTATTTCAAAAATAAACAAACTCAAGACTGCCCTTTGTGTTTCCCTGATCAGTGGGGGGAAAATCTGCAATTTAACTGTTTTCCCAGCAGTGCCTGTGGCATGGGAGTTCATATACTTTAGCAATTTTTCTTATTCGTCAGTGAAATGGGACTAACTCCTATTTACTAACAATAAAATCTGAGACATTTTCCAGACAGTGAAGGACCTGATGTCATCTCTGGGAAAGGCAAACGGAGGTAGCATTTCTGTGTTTATGACCTCTCATCTTCAACCCTATGTTCTTTCTAATATGAAGCACCTACACAGACCTGCCCTTCATCCCCCTTATATCTAAGAATGTCTAAGCTATGCTACGGAGGAGTAGAGAAAATGTGGAAAAGATAATAAGTGACAAATGTGTGACCCTTGTTAACAGGTAACACAACATGACAGAAGACAAACAACACATGTGAACAGCTATGACCTTTCATATACCACTAACAAAGTCCCTACAAAATACATGAACCTCCGACTACATTGTGGGGCAGGGAAGGCAAGAGATCTCTGGTGATGGAAATCTTCTATATCCCTGCCCCTTCCAGCTGCCATGCCCCTATCCTGCACAGGAATCTTTAACTGGCTTGATCTTGGGCTTCTATATTTTGTCAAAGTAATGGAGAAAGCAGTTAGTGCTTTTGGCCACTCAGGCCTTGAGGCCTTCAGTTTTCCTATTTGTAAATCATCACACATTCATGGTTCTTATCCAATACTCTGTTGACATCTTGAGTCTTGGGTTCATGAAACTTGGGGTACTCACAAATCCCCCCAAATGTCTCTATAGCAAAAGCATGCTCCTAGAGCAGAAGTCTAGAACTTCAATCCCAATGGCAAAGGGGTTGCAGTTAAAAAAACACACACACACAATAAAATTCACTTGAATAAGAGAAACCTATGATCCCTTCCAGCCCTAACATTCAATAATTCAATTTAAAAAGACTGAAAATTGTGGATGTGGTAATTCTTTGGGACAGAACAAACAGAAACTACTCAGCTAAACCCAATAACAGCATCTAAGTATTACTTCCAGTAATGGCAGCTTCATCACTTGGCCATCCTGTGGAGATAGAAGAACTCTTATGGTTCCTGAACTTTAGCATTTTTGCATCACAAAGGCTGAGACAACAATTTGAGTTTCCACTTCTTCCAGAGCTCTCAGAGAAAATGTAATGAGAAGAAATGAGACTGTGTGTTAGGATATGTTAGGCAGCATAAACAATCATTGAAACCACATCTGAGACCATCATGTTACTGTGAGAGACTAGAAGGTCTGTGTGGTAAACAGGAGCTCATCCCTGAGAACTGAGACTGTGGGGTTAGAGTCAGAGATCCTCATGTCTCCATAGCCTGCAGAAGCTCACTCCTGAGCCTACCTGGGGAAAAGAGAGGGCTTTGCAAAGCTACCAAAGAATGAAAACTGAATTATGAGAGGAAAACTTAGAGTTTTAGAGATACTGAATTGACCATATCTTCATTTTGGTTCAGATCCACCTAAGTCTCTCAAGAGCTGATCTTTTCCAGTGGGGATAAATCACATTGCTCAAATTCAATACACTGTATAGTTACTTGTCTCTTAAAGCCACCTGACGTTTCATGGAATGCAGACCCCAGCCTCCCCATAGGTCTTCATGATAAAAGCCTGACCTCCTCAGATCTCATCCTGGCTGACAGTGAAGAGAAAAGCAGAATCAGGAAGCTGCTGGAGCAAGGGCAGTCTGCTACCTCTGAAGCACCTTGAGGTTCAAGAATCAAGAAGCCATTTCTCCTTCTCTTAGAGGAAGGGATTCCCTGTGAATAAACTGCAGCTCCCCACCTCAACTCCACCCCACCTGAAAAAGAGGCAAAAATGAAGCTAGAGAAGAATGAGCTCCAGAGTCTAGCTTGAAGCAGGTTCAAGCTTAATATTAGATCATCTCTGAGTTTGTACCTTTCCCTTGCTAGTGTGGCAGTAATGATTCCTACGAAACAGGTTCACTGTGAGCATTAGTAAGACTGAACACCATGCGGGCACAGAGGAATCCTGCGCACAGCAACCCAATCTCGTGGGAGTGCTGTTCCCATCATTTTAAATTATTATTAATACTATAAAGCCTCTTGTTACAATCACAGACTGCTTATGGGGTGGGCCCTCCACAATTAGTACAATAGCTGTTGTGTTTGGTCTTACTTAGCTCGTGGCCCCAAGCCACCCTGCTACCCAGAAGGGAGATACAGGAACACCTGACCCCTTCTCTTACCTTCCTTTTGTTGGTGGGGTTGACATAGAGGTAACTGAGGACGGTCTTCAAACCCACTTTGTCATTTAATTTTTCATAGGTGGCGCCATAATCTATTGACCTGCAGTAAAAGAGGGGGGAAAAGAAGGGGAGAGATTATGTCATCAAATGAAGGATTGCATCTAAAGGGAGCCATGATCCTTCCACTCCAACCTACATCTTTGTTACCAAATCACATGAGTCCTTGAAAATGTTCTTCAGAGATAAAAAGCCCCATTAGTTTTAGAAGAGCAATTAGACTAATGCGTCGTCTCCCTCCTAAGCTTGCTCTCCTTCGCTCCCAGCCTTTCTCAGAGACCTACTTTCTACCCTTTGTGGAAGTTGTGCAGAGAAAGAAGCTGCTGGAGATTGCTCACCTCCCTCGCAGCTCACTCAATAGTTCTGAATGTGGCACTGGGCAGGGCACACACAAGTGCTTGTCATCCAACATTCAGTACTACACTGGGAGTGCGACTCACAAGGGGAAACACCAGGATTTTCCAACGGGGAGAAGGGTGGGACGATGGGATTTTCCTCACATACTACAGGCAACTTCACACCCCCTCCACTGAACCTGAAACAAAAGAGTTGTCAGAGGGCAGGACTTGGCCAAGAGCATGCTGGGTCCAGTGGTTAAAGGAGGCAACACCAGGAAGAGATTCTGTCTTACATGAGTACATCACAGGTCAAAAAAGAATATCATTGAACTGGTTGAAATCATTCCTCATTCTGACTTTGGTACTATTAGCTACCTGATCATCCCTTCAGCCTCAGTTTTTAGCAGACTCATCAGATGCAAAAGCCAAAGAAAGGCTCAGAGGAGAAAGTACTCAATTGGCCTATGGACTCACTGGCTTATCAACCCATTGGCCTATGAACCTCCAGGCTTATTAAGCCATTGGCTTATCTTCTGTGCTGGCTTTTCTTCTCTTTCAAACTAGTGAATGGAAAGAAATGGCCAAACAGTAGGCTTCATGAAGCCAGACTCCCTGCCACACTCTCTCAAGTCTCAGCTGCAACCCTATACACATCTCCTTTTCACACAATCAGTATCATCAGGCTTTCTCCTCCCATGCTCCCACACCTCCTTGGTTAGTCTTGAGACCCCTCCCGCTTAGGCATTTGAAGGCCTAGAGGTCAGTTTACCTTCACTGTCATCAGTTGACCTGGCAAGCATGAGGCGCTGTGCCTCTTAAGCTCAGTTCTCGATCTGTCTCTATAATTCCTACTGACTTTGGCATCCTGATACTAGAGCAACCTTTATCTAACTCTAATCTGGTTCTGCTTTAGGCCACATCTAACTTAGCCCGAGAAGCCTGTGTGATGACCTTTAAGAGTTATCTCCATAAGGCTTCCCTACCCTTCTTCCTCTAAACCACTTAAAATTCTTCTATGCAATGCATTTCCCTGTCCCACATACTCCAAAGCACACTCTGTTTGCCCCTTTTCTAACTCTTTGAGGATGTTATGGCTTTATAATCTGCCATCTGACCCACAAGGTAAGCTCCTCAGGGTCAACCTTTACATAAAACCATGATAGGATGGAAAAAAATCTCTGAAGATAGGGAGATCTGATTCATTTCCAGATCTGTAGCTCTCTGATCACATGCTATGGGCAAGTCATTAAACCTGCTGCTGTCTCAGGCTTCTTCTCTGAGAAATGGGGATGATTCAGCCTCATGAAGCGTTTGTGAGGATACAGAAATAATGGCACAGAGGAAGCCAAATGGGATCCAGGGAGAGAAATAATTAAGCAAATTAAAATGAAGAGGTTTTTGTTTTATTTCTCCTTTCTACAATGAGTATAAAACATGGACATTATGTATACTTCACATTCTCACTAAAGAAACTAATATGGCATTTTAAGTCTTTTCCTAGGGTACTATCTCCTCATGTGAATCAGTTATAGTAACAATAATTCGTCCCTCAAGAAGCTGGCTTCTCATGCTTGATCCTGAGTCTACCACAGGCACTGAGTGTGGAGAGTCATTCCCAGTCTTTCTCTTTGCCTGTATCTCTCAACATCACATCTGTCTCTGAGTCTTTGTGATTCTGTCTCCTAAGTAAGTTATTTGCCAAGTACCTCATCCCTTTGCATGTCAATATATGGCTCATACATGGATTCTTCACAGTCTTCTGTTTGGAAATACTCGAATTACCTTCCCCGACAGCTATCCTCCATGCACTTAGTAGGGTGTCCTCCACCCACCCAGGTCTGTCTACCTCTCACTTCAGTGTAAATGACCCACTGCATGCACACAGACCGTACTCATTCTCCAAACTTAGGTTTTGAAATTGAATAAATAGTCTTTACTAAGCCCATCATTAGCCATTACCTTTTTCACCAGCTTCCCTGAACTTTCCTAATCCTGTCCCACATTTTACTACCTTCCCTGGGCCAGCCAGGACTTAGTTCTTCTTGGTAAATCTGGGTCCAGCTATCGACTCTAACTCTACTACTGTCTGATCACCTTGTAACTTTCCTGCCGGGGAATTAATCACGGTTCCCTGTGTTCTCCATTCACTTTGTATATTTTCCTTCCCATTTTAGCATCTGCCCTATTGCTTCATTTACATTATCTTTATTACAGGACTTCTTCTTCCTTGACTTTACCTCTCTGTGGGCAAGCAACACTTCAAACAAGAGCTCCAGTGCCTGATACCATGACTGGAACAAAGCAAGGTCTAAATAAATTGGGATTTGTATTGGTTTGCTTTGTATTTACTTGTGAGAGTAGATGAATGAACTTGTCCAAACCCATTCACCAGTTTCTAGTCAACTGCTAAGGTTTAATAATAACTCGAAACACTCTCATCCTAGAAATTCTACCTGATGCTCTGGATGCTGACAGGACTGTCACGGATTGCTGAGTTCCAGCACGATTTGGTACCAGAGGAGGACCAGTAATTCACTCACATTAGAATCAAGGTTAAATACCCAATCAGCCTATCACCATGAACAATACTACTCTCCAAGGCATTGCAGCAGACAAATCCAAAGGCTGTGAGATGCATTCTTTTATTAATGGAAATAAAACATTTAAAATGACCTGGTCTATACTCCTTTCAACATAAAATCAGCACTGCATTGGCAAAGAACATTGAATTTGGAGGCCCCCAGCTCAGATTTTAGAACTGAATCTGAAATGTATGCAAATATATTGCCCTGGATGAGACCCTTCTCTAAGCCTGTGGAGGAAAAACAACAACAACAACCCCTTCATCTGACAAGCGTTAAAATGATGATGCCAGTTCTACCAAGGACTAGCATAATGAGCATGCAGGCTATTGCCATGGAATTTTGCCATAAGGAAGAGAGATTTGGCTGGATTCCAAAAGCAACATGGAAAATTGGGATTGATAGTTCAGAAGCCGGGTGAGGATCAGTGGATGGAAATTACACAGAAGGTAGGGTAGTTCCTTGCTAAACAGACTTAATCAAACTCTTGCTGAACTCTGGCCAAGGGGATCAGCCCTTACCCGGGGATGGCAGGCTGCAAGAATTGCTGTAAACTGACCTACTGGGATTCTTGCTTAGGCTGGGCTCTTGAGAACATGCTCAAGGTTAGGGATTTATTAAAATACATCTCAAAGGATCTTCACATAAATGGATGAAGAAAGGATATTTTCCAAGCACCACTCTATTATTAACATGAGATATTTAACACATATCATTTTATACTTGCTTTTGGATCTTAAATTTTATTATCATAACAACCTAGTGTTATATTATTTTCCAGGCAGTGACTTTCCCCATCCTATCTACAACAAACATCTTGTAGGAGCTAAATCCTCAAGGCTCCCTGTATGACTAATGTCACAACAAACTCCCTTCCAGAATCCAAATAGCCCCCATCAAAGACAGCATGCTCAGCACCATGCCCAGTCTCTCTTTCTACACGCTGCAAAGAGATTCACACTGACTTTGCTTTTTTCCAGAGCTGGCTGCTGAGAGGAGGGACTTCCCAACAAAGAATGCTCTCTACAGCTCAGCTTCCTGCAGGCCTCTGGCAGTTTCTGCTCATTCAAGTTGACAGAAGCAAGTAGCACTCATTGAAGGTATGTCAAGCATGTGGAATCAAAGGTACCCTTGACTCTGTCCTTTCCAGCATGGCTATGGCATATCGCCTTGACCACAGCGTTCTGTAGACCCACTTGGCCTGGGGAGAGTGCAGATGGCAGAGAGGACTTGGCCTTGTTGCCAAGACAGCTGTGCCTACAGAACTTGCTTTGACAAGAAAGCAAGCCATCCTGTATCTTGGGGCTCTAGACATCTGCCAGTGGGAGCAGGAGTGTTACTTGGAAGAAACAGTCTCATCTCACCACCCTGAAGTCAGCTCCTCAAATCTAAACTCCTACTTCATAAAAACAAAGTTCCAATTACTGAATCCATGACAGTGACATATATGCATGGCACGCTGGTCTCTCCCTGGTACTGTGCCAATATGCACGATGAATAGCTAACCTGGAAGGTGCCATGTGAAATATACAGAGACATATGGCTTTGGCTTCTATGGCTATGTTCAGATGAGTACGGCTGATACACCAGGGGTTGTATTTGATGCATATGTACTGTTTCACCATTTTCTCCCATTTGTTCTGTATATTTTCATTAATTACTTCCAACACAGAGAAAACTGCAATGAGTCCACAATCATTCAGCAACTACTAAAATAATTATGTTTATAAACAACAAAGAACTTTGAGTGTTCTTACATTTGTGTGTGAAGATCTGGGGCTGTGGAGGTGTGTTTGTGTGGGTGTGTACACATGAGAGTAAAAATGGAGGTGGGTGTCCATGTGTGGAGGCCAAAAGTCAATCCTGAGCATTCCTCTATTACTTTCTACAGACTTTTAAAGGCAGAGTCTCCCATTGACTTGACTCTCACATATTCTATTAGACTGAGCTTCAGTAATCCCTTTTCAATTATAACCCCAATTCTGGGATTATAAGCACACACCCCCAGCACTCAACTGTTGATGAGGTTAGTAGAGCTTTGAACTTAGGTCCTCATGCATATGAACCTACTGAGCTATCTCTCCATCAATATTTGAAACCACCCTAGGATACATGAAACCTTA